GGGCCCACCCATGACATGATTTCCAGCTGCCAGGCCATGAGTGGATCAGCAGCTCAGATGAAAGCAAGAATGCTTCTCTGTGGTTCCCTATTATCCAGCCTTGCCTCAAGCCAAAGCCTGCCTATTCTGTGAAGCTGCTTCCTTTCCTAGCCCTTCCTTTCTGGGCATACCAGGGCAAGTAAGCACTGCCTCCAGGGTGTACAGAGCAGCCCCAGTTGGGTGCCATCATCCAGCTGCTTATAGGCCATTGATGTTGCTCTCTTCACCTCTCCTGGAATACTCTTCCACTTTTTGTTCTTCCTATCAAAGACCTGCCTCTCCTTCCCAACCAAGTCCTTCCATCTGTGCAAAGCCTAAGTTCACCCCCAAAGATAAGAGACTCCCCTTCTCTAAGCCTCCATTTCCTCATTGGTCAATGGGGTGTCTTGCCTTGCCCACCTCACAGAGCTGTTGGAATGATGAAATGAGATCATGGATACTAATGGAACTCTTTCTATGCTTTCTAGGAGCTTTGCATGTATTCACTCATTTAATCTTCACGGCAAGCATATGAGAAACATACTATTACTATGTATGCCACATCTTTCTCTCAAGGAGAAAGCGCTTTAACCACTGTGCCACCAGGGCTCCCTATTCTTTCCATTAAGACATAGTTAGCAGGTAGCAGAGCAAGCAGGTAGCAGAGTCTGAATTTGAGCCCAGGTAGTCAAGCTACACAGAGGTCAGCGATGGTTCAGTGGTAGAATTCTCGCCTTCCACACAGGAGACCTGGGTTTGATTCCTGGCCAAAGTACCTCATGTGCAGCCACCACTCATCTGTCAGAGGAGGCTTGCAGGTACTAAATTTTGTTGCCCCCTCAGGCATGCCTCCCACCCATCCCCACCACACTGCACCCCTCTCTGATCAGACGCTTGAAAGTACAAGGCTGACTTTGCCCTGGGATTCAGGTCCCAGAATTACTTAACTGAAACACCAGCACCCTCACAAATCCTTCAGAACCCAGTGCTCCCCCATCCACTCTTGCCCAACCAGCAGCCACCTCTGGTCCAGGGATCCAGGAGCTAGTCTCAAGAAGAGAGCTCCAGAGGTGGGAGGAAGGCAAGGAGGAACAAGGCAGACCAGCCGGGAGCCTGGAGATTGATGGACCCTGCTCCTTGCTGGCCAGCATCAGGTCAGTCAGGGAGTAAAGGATCAGAGCCAAGCAGTGATGTACAGCTACCTTCCATGGAGAGGCCAGCCTGACTCCTAACGGAATCAGGTACCCACTCTCAGAGCCCCTCTTTCCTCTAGCTCCTCCTCCCAGCTCACTGACCTCGTCCCTTGCTTTTCTCCAGCCCTGCCCTGCCTGAGATCTCCAGCTGATTTTATAAATGGCCCTCGCAGAAGGTGGGCACCTTGGTTAACTGAATCAGCGCCCATGAGGCGGGTGGCTGGTTAGCATCACAGCTGAAAGGTGGTGGCAGCAACAGCTTGAGTGTAGTCATCAGGGAGGAGTCTGAGTGAGCAGAGAGGTCCGAGCAATCTGGGCCCTTGTTTATTCTGAAGCTCCAAGGTGGGAACTCACCAGGGGGACCTGGGAACCTCCACCACCATCCTGTGAGCAGGTTTATGAGGTGGAACCAGGCCAACACGCACACACACACACACACACACACACACACACACACACACTCACACATACACATACGCACATACACACACACCACGCACATACACTCTAGAAAAAGTAAACACAAGGGGAAGCAAGAGAGAGAGAGAAGAAAACAGGAAGAATGTTAGTATGTGCTTGTGCACGCACATCTGCAGTTCTATGAACCTCCGGGGCTATGTACACACCTCTCTGCTGGGCGCCAGTCATGATGCCATTCTTGCCTGCCCTGATGTCACCTCTGCGTAATAACTAGTAAATATAAGCAGTTTTTAAGTGTCCTGGTCACAGCAAAGCTTTTCATGGTATCAACAGCTGCCAGGCAGCAGAACCCTGCTTGGTGGAACTGTCACTTGATCTTATCTTGTCCTGTCCCCTTCAAGACTGGTCTGTTTCCTTACCTACGAATTTGCCCTTTGACAACCTGGGTGTCATGGAAACATTTCAAGGATGGCGTCCACCTTGTGTTTATGTTTAAGGAGGTTGACCCCTAAAGTTAACTCCTTCATTAATTCATTTGGTAAACATCTCCTGAACACCCCGCTCTGTAAAGTGGTCTCCACGAGGGTGGGAGGCATGTCTGTGTCACTCACCGTGGTACCCCAAGTCCTCAGGTGATGCTGGTCCACAGGAGATGCTCAATAGCATTTGTCAAACACAGGAACGATGCACATGTCTTATATGATGTTAGTGCAGTTGGGCCTGGTTGTGATTGCGCTGACACAGTTGTCTACAGAACAACACGCCTGTTGGACCACATCTTCTGGGAGAGACCTTGACACATGGTCAGCGTTTCAACTGTCTCAAGGAGTTTCATTACCCCTCCCAGCTTCCCCAAATGCTCTACTTCCCCTACTCCCTCCAGCCCTCACCCCACCTTTCCCTGGGGCCCCAGGCTACAACTTCCCCCTGTGAAGCACAGTTAGCCTCAGAGTGGAAGAACTCAGAAGTCCCTAGATCTTGAGGGACAGGAGAGAAGTTATGAGAGGGGCAAGTTTCAGCTTAGGATCCCGTACCTTTTGAAGGCAGGGTCCACATGTCTCAAGGTGGGATTCTGATAGTCTGAAGAGACAAACTCTAAAATGCAAATTCAAATTATCCTCAATTCCTTCCTTCCGGGCCAAGCCCCCACGCCTGGCAACAGCTAAGCCCCCCAGTGGCCTTTTCCACAGGCTAACACTGCCCTCTGCTGGGAGGATCTGGGACATTCACCTAGAGTGCTACCTCAAGGAAATTAGAAGTACAACCTTCTTGCCCAAGACATCCCTCCACACCCCCAGCAGAAAGAGGGGAAAGACGGAAACTCTCAGAGGCATGAGACCCTCTTGCCTCCACTGTATTCTGAGGCTGGGTCCAGATGGTGCCAGCGGGGCCAGGCAGTCCTGCGGTACAGACACAAAAGGCAGGGCTCCAGGAAGGCCTCCCAGCCACTCACCCATGGCCTCAAATGCCTTCGGTAAAGAACACAGCCATGGTGAGAGATCAGACTTAGATCCAGGAGCAGATTATCCAATAGGCCAGGTAAGCACGGTGCCTACCTTGCTTATCAGATCATCTCTAGTGAGCAATTCCATGTTTTTTCACCACGTCAATGATTCTGCTTCTAGGTATGGCTGGCATCTGTCCATCTCCCAACCTCACAGCACCTTCCTACAGAATCAAAGCCTCTTTTCAAATTTACAATCCCTGACGGGGGTGGATGACCCCGTAAGCAAGTTAAGCACGGGCTTACTTGTGGTGATTAACTAATCTGTAGTAAACAACTTCATGTGAAAATTTTTCACAATGTGGAATTGTTCACTACAGATGATCTGGTAAATGAGTTAAGCACCATGCTTACCTTGCCTGTTGGAGAATCCATCCCTGCTTAGACTACAAACATCCCTAGAAAATGGACTTCGATCCGTATGTCTCTCTCATTTTCCTCCTAGCTCTAGAGTCCCCTTTGTGGCTGCTTTCAGGTCACCTCTAGTTGAATATATTACAACCATCTTAACTTCAGCATGTCATCTTGTTCTCAAAACCTGAGTCTCTAGGGAAGAAACCCTTATTTCTCTGTGTTCCACATCCAGTATGGCTCAAGATCTGCAGGTGTTATCTCTATCATGACTTTTTAATCCATTGCCTTTTCTGAATTTTCCCTTTCAATTCAACCTCCTAACTCATTCTACCCCCAGCCCATCTTTCACAGAGCTGTTGGGGTTATTGCCCTAAAGCTCAACCCTTATGGAACACAAAAGCCTTAAGCCATTCTTCCTTCCCTTCTAATTAGTACAAATTTCTCCGTAAGGTGGTCTGATTCGGCCTTCCCAACTTGTCACAGGTCGACTCTGAAGGTAGAACTCTTTCATAAACACAAATCTTCCCACCATACTCTTACTTGCTCTGTTTTCTCTATCCATCCTACCCATCATGTCTTCTTCAAACCAAATCTTCATCAAGTGCCTTCCCACCTTGAAAGTCTACCTGAAATGCCACCTTTGACATGAAGCCTTTCTTGGTCTGAACCCCAGGGCACTGTTTCACCTCTTATGGAACATAAAGACACCCCTCTTGGCCCGTCCCCCTTCTGGGCGGTAAGTAGCTTGAGGCCAGGGAGCCTTGTACAAATAGTGCTCTGTAATTTACTGACATACCTTTTCATGAAAGCAGGTTTTGGTAATGGGGAGAAGGAGCACAAGAGCAGAGCCTGACCTGTGGGGAAACAGGATAAAAGGAGAACTGGGGCCACAAGGGCCTCTGGGGAATCACAAAGATGGAAGGGCTCTTAGCACCCACATGGTGCAGCCCCTCGTTTTACAGACAAAGAGGGCAAGTCTCGGGAAGGGAAGGGATTTGCCCAGGGCCACACAGCTGGTTAGCAACTGTAAAAGTATTTAGTCCCATATCTAGTGCGTAAGGAGCATTGGTGGTGCAACGGTTAAGCCCTCAGCTGCCAACCAAAAGGTTGGTGGTTCGAACCTACCCAGCCACTCCATGGGAGAAAGGCCTGGCAATCTGCTTCCATAAATATTATAACCTTGAAAACCCTACAGGGCAGTTCTACTCTGTCACATGGAGCCGCTATGAGTCAGAATTGACTCAACAGCACACAATAACATCTAGTCCATAAAAGGACAAAAAACAAAAAAACCAAACCCGTTGCCATCAAGTCTATTCTACTCTGTAGAACAGAGTAGAACTGCCCCATAGGGTTTCCAAGGAGTGGCTGGTGGATTTGAACGGCTCACCTTTTTATTAGTAGCCATAGCTCTCAACCACTGCCACCAGGGCTCCATAACAGGCTCAGTAAATGCCAACGGTTTCCTTTCTTCCAGTCCAGCTTTTCATCACTCCCCCCCTTCTTCCCCATCATTTTTCTGGTGTTGACTCAATACTAGCAAAGGGTTAGAGATGCTTGAACATCTCTCCCATGGCACCCTGACTTCCCACGGACCTCTGGCCTGTAGACAGAGGCCTGAGACCCAGTACAGGCTCAGGGAGGACCTCACTGCTAGGAGACAAGGGTGCTCAAAGGTAGTCAACTGGAGCATTCACCCCCTAGCAAGGCTGCGTCCTCCCATTCCCACCCCCACAGCACTCAAGCCACACAAAAATGTTTTAGAGATGTTTAATGCCAAAGAGAAGTCTGGACCCCACAGAAAGCTGCAGCCATCCCCCTGGGTGCCTGGAGCCGTGGCTGTCCCCTGCAGAGGTCACCAGCCTGCAGGGGGCCTGCACAAGCCAAGGAACTAGAGTGATTTGCTGACATCCTTTTGTCCTCTGCACTAAATGCCCCAGGTTCTGCTCAGGCTGGGGGTTGGGAGTAGAGGAAGTAGAAAAGGAGTGGGAGGAGGGTGGGTCTCTCCAGGGCACCCTTCTTGCTTTGGTATGGTGACTCACCCAGTGGGCACTGGGAGGAACATTCTGTCAAACCAAACTAAGGCAGGCCAAGCCCAGCGTGTGTGTAGGGAGGGAGGGCAGGAAGGAGGCGGAGGGAGGTCCTGTGGATGCAGTGACCAAAAACAGTCACCAGCAGCAAAACTTAGAAGGGGAGGCCTACCTTACCCCTCCTCCTCGATCCTTCTCACCACCTTCTAACACCCTTCCTCTGCATCACAGCACTGCTGCTGTGCTGGCACTTTAATGTGATCCACATCTCCTCCACCCTCCCATCACTTTGGGCCTTTCCTGAGTACAACATTGTCATACTCAGTTCCCTGAGGCCAGCCAGAGGCAGAGAAGTCCTGCCCCACTGGGAAGACATGCTGGAGGCCACTGGGGTCCCTGTCAGCTTTGGCCTGCCACCTCCTAGCCTCACCCTGGCGTTCCTGGGGCCTGTCGTACAGGGAGAGGGCAGCCACTCCCTCGGGCTCATCGTATATGTGGTCGGGTCGGGAGGCCAGGTGCTCCTCGATGCTGTCATACAGAGGGTCGACTGGGGGCTGGGGAGGGACTGCCAGGATGCCCCTGAGGTTCTTTCCCAAGGAACGGGCCACTGCATCAAAGGGCACTGCATATTCCCCCTCTGGACCCCGAGGCCGCACAGCAGGCACTCGTGTGCCAGGCGATGGTGGTGGCAGTGAGTCATGGGGCCGAGAGTAGGGGCTCTCCGGCTGGGGCAGCACCATGGGGATGGTAGTTGGCTGAGTCTGGGGCCCAGGAGAGGCAGCGTTCTTCTGGGCAGAGATGGCTTCCTCCAGAGCCAAGAAGATCTCGTTGCCTTGCTGGGTTTCAAACTCAAAGTTGCCCTCCCCAGAGAAACAGCGCCGGCCTGCCTCAAAGGTAAAGGTTACCTGGGCAGAGAGGGAGAAGGAGGTTACTGGCCAGCCCACTGGGTAGGGTTGCTTTTCCTGTGCCCCACCCCCAACCATGAGCCCCAAACCCCTCCAGTTTCCCTCCACTAGGAACTGTTCTTCCCAAGCTATTTTCTCCTCCCTCCCTCTGTATTTTTTCCTTACAAGAAAAGACATCCCCATCACATCTCCCTTCTCCTCTCCCTTCATTCTTCCTCCCATCCATTCAACTACAGGGCTTGGCGTACAGCTCATCCTCAATAAACCTCAGCCATTATTTAAAAACCAGTTGCTGTCAAGTCAATTCCAACTCATGGCAACCACATGTGTATCAGAGTATAACTATTCTCCATAGAGTTTTCAATGGCTAATTTTTCAGAAGTAGATTGCCAGGCCTTTCTTCCGACGCTCCTCTGGGTGGACCCAAACTTCCAATCTTTCAGTTAGCAGCTGAGTGCGTTAACTGTTTGCACCACCAGCCATACTTTACTCCGCTCTAACTCCATTCTTTGTTGTTGTTGTCATGTACCGTCAAGTCAATTCCGACTCAGAGCGACCCCATGTAACAAAGTAGAACTGCCCCATAGGGTTTTCTAGGCTGTAATCTTCACAGAAGCAGATGGGCAGGTCTTTCTCCTGCAGAGCCACCGGGGGGATTCGAACTGCCAACTTTTCAGTTAGCAGAAGAGTGCTTAAGCATTGCATCACCAGGGCTCCCCTCCATTCTTTACTCCCCTCTAATTCCTCTCTACCACTTCTCTTCCTCCTTTCCTTCTCCCTCACCTCCACTATCCCTCCCCCCACTCCTTCTCACACGTGTACCTCTTTTTTGCATTCACTCTTTCTCTCTCATCACCTCTGGCTGTTTTCCTTTTGCTGACCTCTCTAGCTTTCCTTTCTCCTCCTCCCCTCATCTCTCTTCCTTTGGGGGTAGAAGGCCTTTGTCCTCTCCCTGACACTCTCTCTGCTCTCATAGCTCATCCTTGCCCCCTACTTGCCCAGCTGCAGCCCCCTTCTCACCTTGTCCCGCCCAAAGCGCCGCAGAAACCTATAGGGCCAGTCGTATAGCAGGGTGCCCGGCTCAAGGCCCCCCCACAGCTCCAGGGCACTCTCCCCAGCCCGGAGGGTATAGGCTCCCCAGAGTCGGCACCTCTCACTGGCTTCTGTGGGTCTAATGGTCACAGAAAACTTCTTCTGGGCAACCACTGGCAAGAGGGGAGTGAAAAAGGAGTTAATGGGAAACAGCTGGCCTGCCTCAACTCTGCCCCTATTCTAAAGGAAGATGCCAGAATGTCTCTAGAAAAAGTGGTATCCATGTACCCATAACCCCCCAAGCCTGGACCTTAAAAGCTGAGCTGCTCTGTGCAAGGATACACACCCCCCCAAAACCAGGTACCTTCACCCCCTACCCCAGTAGGTATCATGACCTAGCCACATCCACCCCAATCTCGTGCCCACATCCTTCCTGCCCCTGTTGCCAGAGCCACAGGCTTGTCTTCTCCATCAACTCATAGCAATTCTCACCCCAAACCAGCTGCCTCCCCAGTCTCTACCGTCACAGCTGCAGGGGAAGCCTGACCCTGCCCTCCCAGCTGTCAGTCTATCCACCCACTGCTGATGACACCATCCTGTGCCTTCTCTGAGATGGGGCTTAAATTAAGCATAGACGAAGTGCTTCCCCTTTGTCCACCTGCCCCGTCTCCAAACACACCCAAGAGAGCTAGACAGCAAGAGCAGGGATTGCTTTGTCAGCAAGAAACTCCCTTGCCACAGGACACCTTAAAACCACAGCCAATATCAGAGGAAAAAATTCTTTTTACAAACAATTGCTCAGTTCCCAAAGAGAGAGGGTTCAAGGGCAGGACTTCACCAGGGCACCTTGGCCTTGTCCTCTCCCACCAGCAGGGCCTGGGCAAGTTGGGGTGAAGCAAGGGTGAAAGCTGACACTCAGGCAAGCGAGGCTCTGCACCTTGGGCCATGCCCGGAAGTGATGGGGAGAGGCTGATAGGGGGCTGGCCGGGGCTGGGGGCAACCACAAGGCAGGAAGGCTTGAGGCCATCAGCAGCAGACCGCACCTCCCCCCAACCACACCCTACGAAGAGCACCAGGGAGAATAGTGCAGCCGCTTACCTGTGGCCGAGCTGCTGTACAATTCGTTGTCCGCCATGCAGGGCCCACTGCTCTTCCCTGGCACGCCCTCCGGCCCGGGCCCTGGGAACTCCCTCCTCTGCCCCTAAGGAAGACACCCGGGTCTCACACAACCATCACCAACCCCGGAACTCCACCTCTGGCCCAGGCTTTCTTCAGGGCACACCCACCTGCTGCCCCTGTCTGCACTCTGGATTGGGGTCCCCCACCAAAGAATATCCTCAGCCTCCTGACCTTGCCTCTTATAGCATCTGCCCACAGGAAATAGCTAGGCTCCACTCCCCCCATCCCCCATACATCCCCTTGCCCTTTCTGCATCCCTAGACTACTCACAGCGAAGGCCACCAGGCAGATGGCCTGCAACCAGTCACCATGCTCTGGAGTGGGGGCCGCCAACAGCCACTGGCGCTCCTTCGTCTCCAGGAGGAAGGCGCTGGTGTCCCGGGGACTGCTGGCCTCCCCACTGGCCTCAGCCACCCGCAAGCAATCACTGAGGCGGATAATCCGTCGGGCAGCCTCTCCACGGCGCTGCTTCTCGGAGTATTCCTGGAGCTCCAGCCGGGCCAAGGCGCAACCAGACTCTCTGTACAGCACAGCCCAGAACCGCCGCCATTTCTGAGCCCAGGTGCATGGGCAGTGAGGTGCCGAGAGAGAGCCACCAAGAGAAGAAGAGATTGTGACCAACGGGAAGAGGAGGAACTGTGGGAAAGGGACTGGGGCAGACAGGCGGAGATTGGGAGAGAGAGATAAAGATCACAGGAGACCAAGGGAGGCAGAGAAATAACAGGAACTGCAGGAATTAGAAAGCACTGAAGACTGCTGAGGGCAGAAAGAAGTACTGTAACAAACCACATGGATGCAGGCTGAAAGAAGGCCGAGTAGGCCCCAAGCCCAAGAGATAAATTTTCCAAAGCCTTTGAGTCCCCAAAGCCCAGAGGACTTGAGGGTTCAGACTTGAGACCATCACTCTTGTTCTGTGTGAAGTTTTGTGGAAGGCCCTTATCTCCAGGAACCTCTCTCCACCCACCTGAACTTTTCTGCCTCATCCTTGAGAGCTAGGGCAGTGAGAGGGCCCTGGTGTTCGTCAGCTGAGGGGAAAAGACTTCCTCATTCAGGAAAGCCAGGGAAGGAGAGGGAGGCTGGGCGTACTGGGAGTAGGCCCCCAGAGCCCCAGCCCAAGCTTAACACCAGCCAAGCCTACACCACTTGGAAGCGGGGAAGGAACCACCACTGTAATCCCAAATTATCCCCACTGCTGCTCCTTCCATCTCCTTCTAAACTGTCCCCACAAGAAGTCATCAGAGAGAAGAGAGGAGAGAGACTGAGTCAGCACTTCCTTTCCCCCAGGAGGGTGAACAACCCTGACGAAGAGCACAGTTTGGGGCCTATTTGGGAGGCAAGAATCTGCTAAGGAATGAGCCCTTTCGAGGTTGAGCTCTGGTTCTAACTTGGAGGATGGCACAGTCCCTACCATCCCATAAGGGTTGTGGAACACTCAGGGAACTCCTCCTTCTCCCCAGGAGTTTCTAGCAGCCCCCCAGCCCCTTGGCCCAGCCCCAGCCCAGGCTCCTACCTTTCCAAAAGTCTGCTGTTGCTGAAGGTGCAGGAAGCCCTGCTTCACTGCCACTTCCTCCATCTTCTGACCATCTCGGTGGCCCTGCACTTCAGCCCTCGCTCTTCACTCCTGCCCTTTCTCTCTCTGCCGTGTGTTCCTCCTTCTCTCAAGTTCATTTCCTCTCTGTCTAGAGTTTTCTGCACTATTCTAGTCTGCTTGATGACGACAGGCTGATAGGCCCTGTGGTTTTGTATGTGTGTGTGTGTGTTTTTAATGAGTGAGTTTCACGCTTAAGCTTCCTGCATTTTCAGAGTAAGAGACAATTTCCAAAAAGTCAAATTCCAGCACTTCAGTGAATGCAGGTATAGAAGCTGCAAGGGAGTCACCAACAAAGAGTGGCCGACCCACAGGAACCAAGATCCAGAAACCAAATTAGATACTAAAATCAGTAACAAAATGCCCCCACACTAAAGTTTGATGCTTCACTGGAAGAGACCTGAGAAATCATCCAGCCTAACTCTCTACTCTAAAAATGAGGATACTGAGTCACAGAAAGGTCTGAGGGACTTATTCAAGGCCACAAATCTAGGCAGCAGAAAAGCAAAACCCAGAACCCAGGGCTCTCAACTCAATGAAAGCTGAACCTAGTGGTTACCAGGGGTTGGCAAGTGGCGGGGAGGGGGAAGGAAGACATAATGCTTAGGGGACACCGAACATCTATTAAGGGTGATGGAAAAATTCAGGAATGGTTGCTGGTGATGGTTGAATAACATGGTGAACATATTTTAATGTCACTGAACTGTACATGTGAAGATTGTTGAAATGGCAAATGTTTTGTCCCCTATATATTTACCACAATAATTTAAAAAAAAAAAATCGAAAAGCTGAACCACACACACAGGTGCAACACACAGACACACACACACACACACACGCACACACACAGATGCAGTCGTTTGACTGCATGGGGAGCACTCCTTTGCCCTCAGATAACAATACATACTCACACTACCCCCTTGGAGATTCTAGAAACATGACACCACCACACTGAAACACGCTAAGCTCTGAAGAAGGAACTTGCTCTCAAAGCACATTTAAATTGCTGTATTTCACCACCTTTCCAGCCTTTTGAACCCAATAGCCACTCCAAGGGAGAAGGATGTGCAAGGAAGAAGGATGCGGCCACCTGCTTCCAGAAAGATTTACAGCCTTGGAAACCCTATGGCGCAGTTCTAGTCTGCCCCATAGGGCCGCTATGAGTAGGAATCAACTCGATGGAAGTGGGTTTGGGTTTTTGGTTTTCCAGCCTTCATGGGCGTTAGAAAGGCACTTGTGTTTCACGTGGAGATTCTCTCTTTAAGTTACAATAGCAATCTCCTATATTTTAAAAAATGCTGCATAGTTATCAAAACAAACGTGTTTCACAGTTACCAAAGCTTTCCATGCGTACACTTTCACTGGTCACACTATCCCTTGAAGAAGGCAGAGCAAGTATTAAGATACCTGTTTGTGACTTGCCAGAGGTCACAGAGTTCCTGAGGAGCAGAGGAGGAAGTATAGCCCAGGGTTCCTGATCTTTAATTCAAAGGTTTTGTTATTGCCAGGTCCCTAGGTGGAATCTAGACTCCATGTAAGAAAATGCATTGTTTTGGGGAAATCCAAGCTCCCAAGAGAATATTTAAACTTAGAGTCAGATGGTTTAGAGAAGCAATCTGGCTGGAAGCGTGATGCAGAAATGTTGGGGGAAAATGAGCATTAGATGAACACTCTTGAGGTAAGCCCAGAGTGAGCACTTACATAACTGGGCTGACTTCCTCTACCACAGGATTTCAGTTGCCTTGGTATGGACAGCAGAGCAGTGCACAGCTCAGGCCTTCAGCTGTATGTGTGATGTGCTTTCACCCAAGCAGCTTTACAAGATGAACGTTGTGAGCTCTGGGAGAAAGGGGTTGAGACTCACCGCACTCCTGTACACATGAAGATTGACAAACAGGTTGATCCAAAGACCAAGAGAGAACCATGGATGTTGTGGGGAAAGTGCATCTGGGAAAGCGGTTAAGAGTATGGAGATGGGAACGACCTACTCCCTTTATTTAGTCCTTAAGGAGAGTCCACTTTGCCTTACAGTTGGGTGGTCTTTGCCCAACCTCAGCATCTCCTCTTGGAGCAAGAAGAGAGGGCTTTTTGGGTCATCCTGGGGGCCGCTAGAGCAGTGTTGTGTAGTTTTAAATAAATCTTGTGTTGTTAGGTGCTGTCAAGTCGATTTTCAACTCATGGCAACCCCATATGAGAGTAGAACTGCCCCATAGGGTTTCCTAGGCTGTAATCTTTATGGAAGTACTTGGCCAGGCCTTTCTCCCACGGAGCCGCTGGGAGGGTTCAAAATGCCAACCTTTCAATTAGCATCCAAGCACTGAACCGTTGTGCCACTGGGGCTCTTTTTTAAATAAATAGATTTTATTAAGTAGTTTTAGGGTTACAGAAAAAAATGAGCAGAAAGTCCCATACACCCCATCTTCCCCACAGTTTCCTTTATTATTAACATTTTACGTTATGTGCTACATTTGTTACAACTGATGAACCAATACTGATACATTATTATCAACTAAAGTCCATAGTTTACATTAGGGTTCACTCTTTGTGTTAATCAGTTCCATGGGTTTTAATAAATGTACAATGTCATGTGTCTACCATTATACTATTATTTTTAAAAAGTTGCCATCGAGTAAATTCCAACTTATGGTGACTCCATGAGTGTCAGAGTAGAATCATACGCCATAGGGTTTTCAGTGGCTGATTTTTCAGAAGTAGATTGTCAGGCCTTTCTTCCAAGGCACCTCTGGGTGGACTCGAACCTCCAACTTTCTGGTTAGCAGCCTATTATGTTAACTGTCTGCACCACCCAAGGGACTCCAAAGGACCATAAACCCATTGCCATCAAGTCAATTCCGACTCATAGCAACCCTACATGACAGAGTAGAATTGCTGCATAAGGTTTCCAAGGCTATAATCTTCATGGAAGCAGACTGCCACATCTTTCTCCTGCAGAGCGGCTGGTAGGTTTGAACTGCCAACCTTTCGGTTAGCAACTGAGTACTCAACCACTGCACCACTAGGGCTCCTCACAGTATCACAGAGCAGTGCTTTCCAAATTTCAGTGTGCCTAAGTCACGTGCAGATCTTGTTAGAAATGCAGATTCTGGTACAGTAGGTCTGAGGTGAGACCTGAGAGGCTGATGCTGCTGGTCAGTGGACCAGACCCACTTTGAGGAGCAAGGCAACTGAAGACTCCCCCACTTCCCCACCACCACCACCACTGATAGCCTTCCCCGACGGTAAGCTGGACACATACCACTCAGAACCACAGGGGGGCATCCGAGTTTACCAGATTACTTGGAAGCTGTTTAAACCTGGAGGTCTAAGCCCCATGTATTCCAGCCATCCCATCCCATACCTGTGGAAGCAGAGAAAGTTTTCCTCTCATAGCTGTTGTCTGGAGAAGAGAGGGCAGCAGGAGCATACTAGCAGCAATACCCCTGTAGTTTTTCAAGGCTCTTTCAACTTTTCCCTAGCAGGACTTGTGGGGACTTTGCAGTGGAAGTACTTACCCAAGTACCTTCTGCCTGAACACAGGGATATCCTGGGAGCAGTGGCTCAGAAGACATCACTCCAAGACACAGCAGAGGCACAAATTAGAGGCCTTTGGGATACCAGGCACCAATGATAGGAAAAGAAAGCATGGTAAAGGAAAGCATCCTGGAGACCCTTACTGAGGCACAGGTGGGGTTTGCTGTGCCCCTTGGGCTTCTCTTTGCTTTTATTGGAGCAGAGATAAACCAAACCCCACCTATGCCTCAATAAAAGCCACTGGGACCCTTTCTTTCCAATGTTGTCTCTCAGCAGCGGTTGGAGCCCTATGGATAGAAACCACTACTCCAAGAACTGTGCAACTTTATTTTTGTCACCATTCTCCCATAGTAATTGACAGTTAAATCCCTAACACAAAAAGACTTGTGAGTTTTTCTTTGGGGGGAACAAAGGAACGAGACTGTATCTAACTCCTTGGGCAGGCTTGAGTATTAGGTAAAACCCAAATGATGTATAGATAGGGGCAGCTAACCAAGGGGTAGCTCTGGGCACACAACAGGAAAGAAGGTATAGGGTGGGCAGAGAGTTGGTATTGGCCTGAGGAGTATGGGGAATTGAGCAAAGAAGTAAGTGAGCAGGGGTCCTGAAAAAGCCCATCTCTGCCTCCCCTGACCCCAGTGGTTACTGATGGTGAAGGGAGAGAGAACAATACCAGTACTTTGAGTTTCATTCCTAGCCCCCACCCCTTCCCCATTAAGTATATCACTTCTCCCAGTACTAAGTGAGGAGAGTACCCAATTCTGGAAACCCTCTGAGAGGCAGGGCCTATAATATCATATTATAATTATAGTGTTACTTAACATTGACTTAACTCTTAAAATGCTTTTTATATATTTTGAGCTTCATATGTACCCTAGAATGACACTGAGATATAAAAGATTTAACTCATTCAACAATTATTGAGCATCTATTCTGTGCTGGGGTACTGGGGACCAGCATAAACAAGACCATCAGAATCCCTGTTTTTATTGTGTCTACCATCTAGTTGGAATGCCAGCAATAAAAGAGTAAATATGTGAGGAAATAAATAGTTTCAGAAAGACAGTGACCAATGCTATGAGTGCGACAGTGATGGGTCAAAAGACAATTTTCAATACGGTGGTAAGGAAAAGTCTCTCTGAGGAGGTAACAACAGAGCTGAGAAGTCAATGACAGAAGGGCAACCATTTAAAGATCTGAGGAAAGAGCACTCCAGGCAGAAGTTACAAGTACAAGGGCCCTGAGGCAGGAATACCTGAATGTGTTTGAGGAGCTACAAGAAGGCCAGAATGACCAGAGCATTGTGAGCGAGTTGGGGGCATGGTTGGGGGCATGGTAGAGACGGGAGTCAGATCAAGTGGTCTCTGAGGCCATAGAAAAGATTTGGAATGTATTCTAAGTGCAATGGAAAGCCACTTAAGGATTTTAAGCAAGGGAGTAAATGATCTGACTTATGATTTTAAAAGAATGTTATGCAGCTAGATGGAAAATGGATTATCAAGAGATAAGACAGATTACAGGAAAACTAGTTAGGAGTCTATTACCAGAGTCCAGGAGAAAGGTGATGGCAGCCTAGACCAGTGTGTTAGCACCAGAGATGAAGAGAAATGGACAGATTTGGGTACATACTAGAGACAGATTCAACAGGACTTGCAGATGGATTGGATGTGGAGGACTGATGAGATGCAAGGAATCAAGGTAACTCTTGAGTTTTTGCTTTGAGCAA